AGAGTACTTGTAAGATCAGCATTAGGATATGACTCTTACTTCTCAGACTTTGCTCATTCCTCTAAACTTCCTGTTTGCAAAAGTTTTTTCCTAAAAAGCCTTCTCTTGCTGCTTTTCAGAGTTTGATATTTGTACAAGTCAAATTAGACTTTATGCTTCCCTTTTTCACAACTGATGCAAAACGCTGTTGAAAAACATTTGCAATGTCATAAAATGCTTACGATTTGACAAATCTGAGAACATTCAAGTCTGACTGCCTCTCCCCAACTGTAGCATTCCAAACAGTCTGGAAGATAAGAACACACTATCGTTATTAGAAGACAAAGGCTTTGCAAAAAGGTTCAGGGTCTTCCCAATAAATGCAGATTACTAGGTTACTGCTTTATGAAAGAAATTTGAATTTTTAATAGTGTAAAATATTAGAGAAACATGGCACAGATTCGTCTGCATAAACCCAACTATACAAATTTATGGATTTGAACACAATTTGCTTCTGCTTGGGAAAATGATTACTGCATATACTGTAGCTCGCTCTCATGAAGTAATGTTATAGGCTATAAACTACTATATCCTCTACAGTGCATAGCATTAATTACTCAGAAGACAGTTTAGAAGACAGCTTTGTTCTCTGTAAGCTGGCCTAGAGATAAATAGAAAAATCATGGTAGATTTTTTTTTTTTTGGTGTTAGTAAGCACAGAATTCCTCACAAAAAATTTTGCTGGCAAGAAGCCTTAATTGCCTTAACCCCTTTCCCTTACTTGCTTCAGACAGAGCTGACAGAGGTTATATTTTTTAAGAAAGGGCATCTATCCAAGTTCTGTCACATCCCATCATTTGGCAGTATATAAAAATTATTTGGTAATATGAGAGGCCCTCTTTTTCTTTAGGTCACATTTGTTTAAAATATAAATTACTGAAACGTCCCAGGAACAATCCCTGTGTTCTGAGCATTTGGTAAAAATGTAGCTTCCTTTTCTTTTAATTTTCTGTAAGGAATGCTCCTTTAAGGGTTGCTATAGCAATGCAAGCTGCTATTGAGACTGTAAACATTAATGATGACTTGGAAGTTGACACCCTGCAAAAACATTACAGTCATTCTAAGTAAGACTTCCAAGAGCACTGCCATAATATGCAACTCCTACTGAGAACAGCAGGATTCTGAGTTTTTGAAGAAAATAGTCTATATACTAGACAGCAAAACTGCAATGAAGGGAAAATAATACACTCTAATTTTGCAACAAACCAAAATTCCCACTTCAGCATATTCTGATGCCATATTCCTTATGTTTTGGGAGGTCTGTCAAGCCACGTTTAAAGCTACATTTGCCTGCCAAATCAAAATTGGCTCTACATTTCTCTGGAATCAAACTTTTGTTGCTATTGTTGTTGCCTTTCTTTTGCAAATGCAATAAAAATATGTGTTAGGTTACATGTGACCTTGAATATAACTTACCATGTAGGAAGCAGAGAAAGAAACCAACCACCAACTCAGCCAGATGCTTGTAGGATATTTTGAGGGCGTAAAATCCAAATTTGGGCTTCACTCCAAATCTGAGAGCTTTAAAATAGAAAAAGGAAAATCACAGGTTGGTGTCTTGAATACATTTTCGGATTGGTTTTCACAAGTACAGTTGGTAAAGAAGGCTGAGGAATGCTGGGAAGGACAGGGGAGGACAAGGAAGGACACTTCAGTATAACCTGTTCTGTATTTAGTGTTCTTTAATGCACAGTTCCTGTGGGAAGCAACAGAACAGCAGTTAACAAAACTTAGTTGGAAGGCAAATCGTTTTCAGGACTCATGGCTATTTAGTTTTGTCTTCCTAACTGAGTATTATTTGGGCTTGTTTTACAGAACTGTTGGAAATGTATTTGGCTAACAATCTTCAGATCAAAAAGACACTACTGAAGACAAGTTCACAAAATATTCCTCCCCAAGGAGCATTGTTTTTTTTAAGGCCAAAGGTAGTGGTGGTGAGCTGAAGCTTTCCTTCCCTCTTCCTGTGCCACACTGGAGTCTTTGTGGCTTTTGGTCTTTTGCACCATAGGTCATAGGCTTGTTACAGGGCGTTGGGAAGTATTTTGTGGTTTGTGGGGATGCTTCTGGACTAAAAAGCTTTTTGACATCGTTGCCTGTGACTGTAGGAGCCTGACCTTATGGTCCTCTCCAGCACTGTGATTTTCATTTGCAATAGAGTTGATCTCAAGGGTGAATTGTGTTCCACTGCAGAGGTTGCTATGTGTGGACTCTTGTAAACAGGTGGCCATTAGTTTTTCTGGTCTTGCACTGGCATTTCACAAGACTCCAAGTAGAGGCTCTGCCACTTCAGCCTTCAAGACTTCCCAAACATGGAAGGTAAAACCTGGGCACATGGTATGACTCTCAGGGAGGATCCTGTGCAGGGCCAATGATCCTTGTGGGTACCTTCCAATTCAGCATATTCTGTCATTCTGTTCAGCCTTGGTTTTGGGCTAAAAAATGCATTTTGTGATTCTAAATAACTCTATTTTTAATCCCTTTTAAAGGGGAAAGATCCATAATATTTAGAAACTCAAATTCCACAAAATTCAAATACATTTATAAATTTTTAAACAAGGACTTCCAGTGATTTACACTGAGCCATCATCTTACATTAGACCATATGAACCAGGTAGAAATACCCAAAGTCCCTGTTCTCAAGATTTTGCAGTCAATAACCTTGTGAATCAGAGCACAGGAAGTGAGGAAAGGCACAAAGAGTTTGCTGGAGCAGTGTCCTGCACAGAAGACATCTTTTTTTAGTGACAGGGACAAATGCTTTTAAGCATGTCCATTTTCTACAAGGATGGAATTTCTCACAGGAGTGATAATGATTAATACAAAGGACACCTTCAAGTGAACTTGTTAGCCCCCATTTTGAAACTTTTTATCCTGTGCTGGAGGGAGATATTTGGCCAGGGCCAAATATTGTGCACTGCTCCAAAAGAGGCAGCAGTTATGTACCGTAATGCCCTGTCTTCACCTATCTCATGTTTTTCCTCTCTCTTTCTAAGTATATCCTTAAGTTTCACAATACATTCAAAGAATCTGGATGCAGGATAGCACTAGCTCTTAGAATTTATTCAGCTACTTGTCACTTAAATCTTTAGAAGCTATACTATCCACAAGGTCTGTCTGGAGTTTAGAAAATATCTTCCATTTCAGTTTTCACGCAGCTCTTGTTAAGTGTCACAGGACTTCTGTATTATCTTTAAAAAAAAATGCCAGCAGAAAAAGATGTTTTGAAACACATTATTTTTACACTGACATGTTTTTTATTTTTTGTTTTGGGTTTTTTTAATGTTTTGGTTAAGAGCTCTTCTCCTGTTGTCTGGAAAATAAATAGCTTTTATACAAAAATAGTGATTTTTTTCTCCCACTCTAAGAAGATGCATTCAAGGTCAGCTTTGATAGAGCACAGCTGTGTAACCTTGGACTAAGCTGCTGTGAAAACAGCTGATAGATGTCTGGTCTAGGGCAGGTCTCAGCTTGGGAACCATGTTCAGGATCAGGCACTTGCTCTCTGGAGATACACTGCAGACGTGCTGGGCTGGGGGTCATGCACTCCTGATCCTCACCTTACTTGGCCCTGACCCTGCTGCTGCCACTGGACTGTTCTGTCTGTTGTGTTTAGGGGCTGTGGGAATGGGCCCCTGCCATAAGGCCATGCTTCCTCCTGCCTTGCCATTCCCTTGGTTCCCTGCCCACTCACACTCACAGAGCAGCCTCATAGTTTCATCTCCCTGGTAAAACTGTAGGGGTGTCCACAAGTGTTATGATATTTGGATTTGCATACTAACAATTCAAAATACAGCTTCAAAATAGCAATGGCCTAGCTACCTACTCACTGTGTTGTTTCGGAAGGGACTAGGGAGCAAATTTGGGATGCCTTGTTGTAGGCAGGATAAAATATTGCTGAAAGCTTTGTCATTTGCTGCCATCCATCACTTGCAAAGTGCCCCAGCATCCTGACCACAAGTCTTTAACAATACAGCTAAGTGTGACCTACAGTAGGACCCCCAAAACTTCATTGTGCAGAACTGAATAACACATGGCCAGGCAGAATATGTGGCACAAATTATGGACAGCGAAAATAGCGTACTAATGGTCTTCAGATAGGAAAGAAAAATTTCAGCCAATATAAGGCCAACAGCAGAGGGAAAATTAAAACAATTGGGAAGCACAGAGAAGGCTAAAATCCACAATACTTATGTTGACATTTGAAAGACCATAGAAATGTGATGAGAGAAGACCAGACATGGACTGAGCTCAAAAGGGCCCTGCACTGAATTCACCTCACATTAAAATTCAGGAAAAGTTGCAGCTTATGTGCATGTTCCCATGTGGAAAGTTTACGGTGGCCAAGGATGTTGGGACAAGCTGAAAACAGAACCAGAGCTATGCTGCAGCACAGACTCAGCTGGCAAGAGGTCCTTCGTGAAAGCTGTCATTGTTGCCATCAGCCGTGTAGTCTAAGTGTGAAACATTGTGGCTGGTCTCAGTCTAATTCCTAGTGGTACACCCCAGATTTCTATCAAAATGAGTGCTAGTGAACTGTAGTTCCTGAAGAGATGGCACTGCAGGAGGACCATGATGACAGAACTGCTCTCCCTGGTGAGGGGGGATGTGCACTTGCAGGTCGTGCTGAAAGAACTCAGTGCATTTGCTCTATAAACAATTCACTTTTTGCTGTTTGCTGTTATCATCTTGACACTTATAGAAGCATGAAGTCCAAGCAAAAAAATGTTTTTCTAAGAGTACTGGAAGATTTCAGTTTATTTGTTACCTTCTTGCATGAGGTGACAAAAACCAACAAGTTCCCTTTCAGCTTTCTGAAAAGAACATCCAAGTTCAGTTCAGTAAAAATATTCTGGAAGCCAATCACCAACCTCTGAAAACAGGAGTATATAACTGAAATGGAGAACTCAAAAATCCTGATGGGTCACTTCCAACTCAGCATATTCTAAGTTTCTGTGGTTCTATGAAGTTGAAATGATTCCTGTTTCATATATACAGCCCAAAGTCCAGAAATATAATAAAGGGTAAGGAGGGAAGTGTATTATCTATCCATACTGTAAATTCACACACTGGAACTGATTCAGGACCAGCCTAACTCTTGCATCCCTGCCGACTTCTACATGGGTGTCAGGTAGGAAAAGCAAGGTCTTTTACTACACAGGCCAGGTGATTTTGCAGCTACTGTAGCCCACGTCAGAAGTAAAGGGAAAAGAGAAATGGTGAGTAAAATGTGCTTCCATTTACTACTTCTATTTATTTCCTTCCATTTCACTGTTTTGAGAGAGACATTTGCACTCCTCCACTGCTGTTCAATTCTTTAATAATTAATTGCACTGGGAGCCCCTGGTGGCCTAGAGGAAAGGCGCTGCACTGTCACTGCAGAGACCCGGGTTCGATTCCCGGTTAGGGCACTCCCCGGGCAGATGGAGCTCGCTAGCCCTGTAAGGCAATCCATCTACGTCCTGAGGACCTCGCTGCCACCGTCCAAGCGTGCTTGGCCCTGGCAGATGAACCTCAGGATTAAAGGGTGGGCTCAGCTCCGCGCAAACTGTGTCTCACCTAAAAAATCCAATGCGCAGGCTGGAAGGTGGAAAGACCTTCCCCGGTTTTTCGTTCGCGAAGAGACTGGCCATATACATATAATTGCACCAAGGCAAGACAAATTGAGGACTCCCATGGTTTGTCTATGTGAGGAAGTTGAAGTTAAGTAAGACTGTTGATTTTCTGCTAAATCAGTACATAGTCATGATGAGTGATATACTTGAATTCTTTTCAAAACCAACACCAAAAAAATATTGCAATACCACAAACTATTGTGAAACCATTAACTGGCTACACACGGGGTGAGGGAAGGCGGTGGGGTAAGGACAAGGAGGATTTTTTCCTTTATTTAACTTATTATACACCACTTCCATGTTTTCAAATCATCTGATTTTGTTGAGAGAGCAAAATTTGCTCTGTGGAGCTCCATTATCTGCTTCTCTGAGTTCTGGGACTGCATGCCCCTGCCTCCCCCCAAAAGCTTCTTAGCACGCTTCCCTCCTTGTCCTATCCCTTCTTCTGAGCTTCATGGATAGTATATGCATTTCAGAATGTCTTTGTTAGGGAGGACCTCTACCAGATAAGGTAGTAGAGGTGGGTTACCTCCTGTTAGAACTTTGCCACCATATTCCTACAGTGGAGGAGCTATGTTCAAGGTACCCCTTGAATGTTTCCCTGCACCAGTGAGGACAGACTGCAGAATTTGGTCCAAGCTACTTAGATCCCAGTCTAAATTTGCAGCTTTATGAATGTGACTAGCCCTGGAAAATGCAGAGTGACTCACACATCATTTCCAGGACTGAGATTAAAGTTAGTTCATGGAGAAGTGAAAGCTGAGTAAGACAACGATGACATGAGGATATTTGTTCATCAAAAATTCAGCATTTCAACTGAATTTTAAGGGAAAATGAGTGGTTTGAATTTGTGAATCATCTAATTTGTTAATATTTTTCTTTTCTTTCAAGGAGAATTGACTTAGACTATGTTGATTGTAGATAGGCTATTTTCATCCTGTTGCAAATCCCATTTCTACTGTTTTTCTGTTTGTGTAAAAGTGCACTCCTACACAGGAAAAAGGGGCCAAAGAAAGTAACTATATGGTTGGAAACTCATATTACTGATGAAGTGCAAGTACGCATGTGTTTATGTGTAAGTAGAGAACTACAGTGCACCTACATGGACAATAAAGACAAATTAGGGAGCCCCTGGTGGCCTAGGGGAAAGGCGCTGCACTGTCACTGCAGAGACATGGGTTTGATTCCCGGTTAGGACACTCCCCGGGCAGATGGAGCTCATTAGCCCTGTAAGGCAATCCATCTACGTCCTGAGGACCTCGCTGCCACCATCCAAACTTGCTTGGCCCCGGCAGACGAACCTCAGGATTAAAGGGTGGGCTCAGTTCCACGCACACTGTGTCTCACCTAAAAAATCCAATGCGCAGGCTGGAAGGTGGAAAGACCTTCCCCGGTTCTTCGTTCGCGAAGAGACTGGCCATTAAAGACAAATTAGTATAGATATACAAGGAAGATATATTTGACAGTCAGTACAATTAAATAAGAATCAGTGTTCTCAGATGGCAACTTCTATTTGCATAATACGAAAGCAGTTTTTCTAATGCGTTTAATTAGTGACTGAAATGCAAAAGCTAACACAGGAACTTTTGCAATAAACCAAGATAAATTCTAAATAGTGTGTTTCATTTAATTGCATCGGTAGCTGCAGTTATAGCTTTCAGTTTAGTATTTCAGACTAATTTGTTAACTGTCTTGCTATCCTATATGTTGTCTACCAGTGAGATTCTTTTTTTGTATGACAATGAATATCTAATCTTCATTCAGGTAATAGTATATATATATAGAAGTAATTGGCATAATGTGAGGAAATCCTGCTATAATCTGATGTAATTGGAAAACAATGAACCTCAAAAAAATGATTTTGTATATGCTTTGACACTGAAGGACAAAACACCCTACTGATTAAAAGTTAATGGGGTTTGGACAGATGTGGTTATTAATTTACGCCTTGTCCGCTTCTCTGCCAACACGCTGGTGATCCTCAATGTTTAAGCACAAGTTATACTTAGAGAGTCTCATGTCTGCAGCTTCTCTTTTTCAGAGACATATTTTAACTATTTCAGTGTTTGCCTAAAAAATCTTTGCAATTAAAGATCAAAGAAAAATTGGCATATTATTGGTAAAGGAAGGGTCCCCCTGCATAGGGGGTCCTATTGCAGTCTGCAGCAGGTCTGACTCAGCTGGAGGGTGTGCCTAACTAAGCTGTACTCCCTAAAGGCAGACCTGTTTATCCATTATGTGCACAGTGAAGCAGCATTAGCATGATACCTGCTTAACTGTCGCTAGTTCTGGGATTTGCTCACCTGTGGAAGCTGTTGGAGCCTTCTTCACAGCTAGTCAAGATTTGCAACAGAAGTTGTTATGACAGGAAAGCTGTAAATATTCAGGTTTTCTTCGCAAGTTGGAGATCTTTGGGGAACTTACTTCTCTCAGCATAGGATGATAAATCCATCTGCTTAGCTAAATATTGCATCAAATCTACCTGCTTTTGTGTTAGGGAGTCCCTGTGGATACATAAAGGCCTTCTGTCTTGAGTAGAGGAGCTATGGGGATATTGCTCCTTCATGGTCTATAGTTTGCAAAACTAAGGCTGAATCTCCCAGCTCTCTTGTCTGTTTGCAGTTGTAAGTGTCACAACCCGTGCATCACCCCTCTGTGATGGCAGGTAGGAAAGTGTCTCATGTAATAGCAGCACAGTGGGTACCTGTGGCTGCACCCCATCCTACACGCCTCTCTCGATCTCAGGGTTATGTTGAAAAAGACAATAATGAGTATTTTTAAGACTACCAGTATTTCTAAGTGTAAGAAGATAGGTATTGCATGCTATAGGTGGCATTTTATTTGCAGGCATCTCTGAAGTACTATCAGATTTGTCTGCAAGTGCCATGCAGCCAGAATGGTGCCAAGCATCATCTAAGTGCTGTTCAAAAGTAGGTGAAAGTCTTTAAGGGATAAGTGTAGAAATAAATCCTGATGAATGTAACTGAGTGGATCAGATAATTCTTAGAATGGTTCCAAACCTTTCAGTTATGTGTCTCTATAGCTAGATAAAAATGTGTCATCTAGTGTGTAGTGCACAAATGGAAGAGATAATTCTGTGCTGGCCACGAGTCTGAGTTAGACTACTACATGCCATTACTTAGCTAAATAAAGAAAATATGATAAGACAAAATTTTGCAACTCAGTACTTCCTGATGCTAAAAAGCTGTTTGCCTGAGGACGTGTTGGCAAGTGTTGCTGCAGGACTAGGACAGTTTGCTGCCTGCAGGCAAGTAGGGTCAAATTCAGCCTTCTATATTTGAGTGTAGCTCTCCTTCAATGAGAATACCCACCACGTGAACAGCGCAGAAATTTTGTCCTCAGTTAGAATGATATTTGTGAGGCTGTAATGTTGTGATTTTGGGAGTATTGGTTTTCTAGATAGAGTCAAATTAATCTGCCTGTGCATATGAGAACATTGTGAGTTAATGTGAATCATGAGATACTGTACGCTCTCATTCTGAACATTGTTGGTGAGATTGCTTTCTTTCAACCATTAAATTCTTAATTGTAAATAAAGGTAATGTACACTGAGACCACAGAACAGAGCTTCTGTTTGCCTGCTAGAAAACTGTAGGTATATTTGTTATTCAGTAAGCCTTTAGAAGCAAACACTGATGCTTATAGACCAACTCCACCTTGCATCAAGAAAATTGAATATAAACATGGTGGTGTCAGAGGGCAAAAGGGATGAACTTCCCCAAGTAGTTGGGAAGCATTTACATAGACAAACACTTGTACTTGATACTTGGAAGTGTGCATCTCTTACCATAAAACTATGAGGATTTCTTGGTAATCTAGCATCCTATGTTGTATAAAAGAGATGTCAGTGGTCTATGAAAGCATTAAAGTCATGGGAAGGGTGTAAAGGGCCTACTCTTTCTATTAGTAAAAGAATTAGAGAATTATTAGTGAGAATGTCAAGAAGTAGGCTAAGATGAGAGATGTTGGCTCTTTACAACATAGTGCACCCCATAAAAGGATAGTTTGGTAGGTAGGAGTTCACCTGGGCTCAAGGTATGACTGAAAATTTGGGGTGAAATGATACAGTAAGCATAACTAAGTATGTGGAAACTACTTCCATTTTAGGAAGATCCTGACATGAAAAGTGTGGGCAGCTAGGAGAGTCTTATAGGGTAATACTGCACACTGGCTTTTCTTTTCTACTCTTCCTCAGCCACAGGCTTAATGCTGCTGTTGAAGATAGGATGGTAAGACCTTTGAGCTCATTATTCAGAACTGTGATTCTGATGATGATAATGGGGTAATTGTTTTGTGGGGTGGCCAATATAGTGGTAAGAATAATCCTAGAAGTCTGATATGTAATTTATAGCAATAAAACAGAAATAAAAATTTAATGAATAATCATTTTCCCTCTACTTGTAGACTTATACTGATGCCACTTTGGTGTCTCCTAAGTCAAACAACTGAAAGAGAAAGGAATTTTAGCAAGAGTGTTCAAAAACTCTTTTCAGAAAGAGAAAATTGGCAGAAAATTTAGGAGAATCAACTGAAGATTATTTCTGATTACAATTACTAAAAAAAAAAAAAAAAAAAAACAACAA